TTTGACACCAAAGGAAAACAAAGGTTTTTTATTTTAGGATACTCGAAGCATTCATTTCCGAGAGAGCCCAAGATTCACGAAATCCGCAAACTGAAACCTCGTTTACTGCCCGAATTATGGTTATAGAGAAGTTCGACAATCGTATGGGAGGTATAGGGAAAACAAGGCCAGACGGAGAACGGGGATTATAAGGCAGAAGGTGAAGGGAATTCTGTCCGCGTTGAGCAGTGTTTTAAACAACCCTTTGGGTAAGTTCACACAAATCATTATTTACTGGTTCTCATCCTGTACGATAGCACTACACTAACCAGGCTACCGTGAAATGTAACAAGTGTCCGCTTATTTGACTGGCAAATACATGTTATCTGCCGGTGTTTCAGCCAATTGAAGTGTTATGTATGTACTGACTGAAAGATTACTAGAGCAGCATAGCTCATTTCAATAGCTGGATACTTCTACGTGTAATACGAGACATTCCGCTTCCTCTCTCTTGGATTCTTCCCCCTCCCCCTCCCCCCCCAAAAAATATATTGTTCGGTTAATTGCTCCTGAATAGGAGGAGGAAGCTTAAAAATTAGCAAAGCACACAGAGCTTTCAATGATACCATTTATTTTATTGTGCTTAAGTCAAGATTAAGTGGTCAAGTGATCTTCAAAACAGTTCACATTGATCGTAAATCTTGGACCGGCGGTCAAACACTAATATTGAGGGATGTAGCATGACTTCGAGCCATTTTTCGAAGAAAGAACTTTGAATTTTCAAAAAAAAAATTGATTAAATTGCGCCGGTTATAGTTGTAGCTAGCAAAAAAACAAAAGACTCCAAGGTTAAGTTCTGTTTAAGGAAGTCCATTTAGGTAGTCCATCGGGGTAGTCCATTGACAAGGGGTCAGTGTTTTTATCATCACCCGTGATTTATCACCTAAAGCAATTCTGCTGTATGTGTGATGACGGTCGAGTATTAGCTTGCTTTTAATATCCTATTGCCATGTTCAGTTTTGCATGGCAAAAGCATGTTTATGTCTGGGGGAGTATATGCCGAGGAAATATTAGCTTTTCAGTAGCGCCTACTTAGAGCGCCATGTTAATAGCCCGAGGGGGGTACTACTAGAAAAGTTGAGTGGGGGTGTACGGTCCACTTCCCAAAACCCTTACCCTATTTATGACCAAAATTTGCGATTTTTGCTACCCTATTTATGACCTGGCCAAAAATTTGATACCATATTTATAACCGTTGCTTCTGGCACAGTTGCCCTAAACATAGGTTATAAAGGACTTTCGTTGATGGTCTTGTTGATGATGATGAAAACGTAGCTTCTTCTAAGAAACATACCCCACTCAAGACTAGAGTGCTAAAAACATACCCTATTTATAATTATGACCAAAACGTTTGAAAAACCATACTGGGGCCACCCATACATATCTAGCCCATATAAGGGAGTATCCCTCCCCCGGGTGTCAACAGCACGTTAATTTAACAATGGAAAAAACACCATATTGATAGTGATTTAAAAACAAAAATACAAAACAGTGAAAACCATAGTTAGTAGACGAGACCTATATTATTTGCCAGTTTCTATTGAAGTTGATGTCCTTCAGTGGCTGCCTCTGAAGTGTCATTTTAGCCACATCTGCCACGGTTTTCCATCCCTCGGCATCACTAGCACTGCATACGTTGTTGGTTGGGTTGGCAGGGTCCAGAACAAATGGTGGGCTGCGTGGAAAAACACAGCATTTCAGTCCAGTATCATACCGTAAGCGACACTGACATTACTCATATTACTAAGATTATTTCTGATTACTAAGACCGTGTTTCTTAAGCAATCTCTCATTGTTTCTGCTTAACGTTCTTCTTGGTATGTCTAATGTCTGATGACACTGTCTGCATGTGTGGCTGTCTGTGTGTCTACCCCCAGCTGTCTACCTTTGGGTTAAATGAAATTTATCAGTCACTGTCTCTCAGACTCTCAAGCTGTGTATTTTTAACTGATTCACTAACTAACTGACTGTCTACTTTCTGATTGTTTGCCAATTTACCTGATTGTCTCCGTCTGCCTGTCTGTAAGCCTTAATCTGTGCGTCTGTTTTTCTGACTGGGTGGCTGATTGTATCTCTATCTGACTACTTGACTTTCGCTCCACCATCCTTTGTCTCACTTACTATCTGTCTGTGGGTGTCTATCGTAACTATATGAATGTCAAAGAATGGTATAAATGTGGGAGTGTGGCTCTATATGTAAAATCAAAGAAGAACGGTCAGCTGATAGCCACAAGATGCACACTAAGGCGACAAAGGTAGAATAGCACTAGGCCTTTTTTTCTTCAACAAAAAATGTTGAGCCTAGTGTTGTTCTACCTTTGTCACCTTAGTGTGCATCTTGTGGCTATCAGCTGACCCTTTTTCCTTTGATTTACATATTAAGCCACATCCCACACTTATACTATTCTTTGACATTCAGATAGTTACGATAGACAGATAGTAAGTGAGACAAAGGATGGCGGAGCGAAAGTCAAGTAGTCAGATAGAGATACAATCAGCCACCCAGTCAGAAAACAGACATACAGATTAAGGCTTACAGACAGGCAGACAGAGACAATCAGGTAAATAGGCAAACAATCAGTAAAGTAGGGGGGGAGGCTCCCATATTAACGTGAGAGGATGATTGTCGGAAATTTTGAAAACAACCCCTTAAATTAGTTTTATGGGTAAGGCCTAAATTCGTTTTTACCCCTAAGAGGTACCAATCTTAAAACAACTTGTTAATGTTGAGTGACATTTTCACCATTTTGTTATAGCAGTAAAGAATAACACAAAATTTGACTGGCAAATGGTTCCTGTCACACTTCTCTGCTCAGCACAGTAAACGCTACTGCGATAACTCTACCGGTGGTCATCCTTAATTTTAGCACCCTAAGAGATATCAATTCACAAATTTGACCCACTAAAAGTTACGTTGATCACCACCATCACCTTTTATATGAGCATTTCCCCCATCCCCCGCCTGAGTCTTGCTTGGATTTTTCCTGTACAGGAACAAAAACAAACCTTATCTTCATCCCCTTGATTCCTCTCTCAGCGACAGCCTCACTGTAGTATTTATGCCAAATGACGTGTATGTGGCAATTCTTGACCAACTGTTGAAGAACAGCTTTAAAACCGGCCCGAATGTCAAATGATGGTTTTCCAGCCTTCTCCCAACAGGCTATCGTGATGAGCTCCAGCGGATACGAAGATGGCAGTCTAGTTTTACCACTGCTTTTGTCTTCGATGCAGGTTTTGCGCCAGTACTTTACAAGGCGGATTAAGTTTTTCACGCTCGACGGTTGAACCTTGACAAACTCAATTTGTAACCTCACGAAATGTACTGAGTAATAACGCTTGTCGTCCGTTGTACAACGAATCATTTCTTCGTACAGTTGTTCTGCAAAGTGCAAAAAAACACACATTCTAATTAACTAATGGCTTGATTCAACTTGGACACACACACAGCTAATTCACATGGTTCAAAAGTTTATGTATTCCCCGAAACAATGAAATTGCAAACAAATAGACTTCATTATGGCAAGAGGCCATGATCTGCAACAAGCTGCAAGGAGGCTGGCCAAAAGGGGACTGTCTCTACATGACTGACAAACAATGGACTCATATTGAGGTTGGGTTAAAGGAAGGGTAAAATCCTATTTTACCTAGAGTTTGACTTGGATCAGTTGTAAATGTCGGCAGCAAGTCAATGTCAAATTCTCGAGACAAATCCAGACGAAGTTTGAATTTCACGGCGAAGGGTGTCCGTTCATCAAAGGTGATTTGGCCTTTATAAGAACTCCGTTTGAGGCTTGACTCCAGGCAGTCTTTTGTTTCCTGCAAATTACGTTTGTGGTCTTCCATGGTTTTCGCATTGTTGAGGAAAACCACACAGTCGATGTCTGCTTTGTCCTTGACAGCTGTTCCCTTCCCGACAGAGCCTCCCTGAATTGTGTTGAAAGTACAAGGGATTAATTTATTAACAAAACAGCATATCTTGAAAAAAACAACACAAAGGGCTGAATCGATGCCAGAGTAGTATTTAAACCTGAGGGCCACCGCATGCAAATCCAGCACCCTTACCACTCGGCCACGCTGCCTCCCTGAAGAAATGTAGGAATTAATAAGTTTTCTATATCCTGTTCGGGATTTGACTTTCATTTGCTTTCTGACAAACATATTTTTGAGGTTGCTGTCCTTATTGTGTTGGGAACATTTCCATCGAAATGAAGTAAGAAGTTAGAGCAAACATAATTTTGTCTGTTTTCTTGTATTAATTTTATTAGTGTACTTCAGATAAAGCACGAAATATTACGAAGACTTAAGCACTTCCTATAGGAAGTGAAATGCTACCTGACGTTCCTCTGGTTACTATGGCACTTGACAGCAGAGATAGGATAATTTTAGAAAACCTCATTGGTGATTTGCGTCAGCGAGTAAGCTAAACTTAATCAATAATCAAGTACTTAATCAAATGATTTAAGAGAAACAGGTGGGAGGACAACATCATTGGGTGGATAGGGATGTGTCTAAATACGAAATGCGAACTAAATACGATATAAATACGAACTCACCGCAAATTTACAATTAGTTTTTATTGTGATCTGTGGCCTGTGACCTGTGACCTGTGACCTGTGACCTGTAACCTGCACTTTAGTCCCGCCGTTAACACCACAACATTTGCACCTTCGTTATTCGCACCCACTAATTGCAATACGTGTAATTATCATATCGGCATCAGCACATAACGCCTATGTAAATCTGTGGACAGGCTTTATTAAATAGTCTACTTTGAACACGAAAGGTAACGGTCAAAATCACAACCCTCAGGTGCAAGTACTTCATTGAGTTGTTCAGTCTGCGCTGACCATGCAGATCAGCAAGAAATCATGAACAATTGAATGTATAGACCATTACACCCTCCCTCTGTGCACATGCGGACAAACTGATCTGCTGCCGTTACGGAATAGTGTTGCCTCGGCTTGCCTTTTCTCCACTCTGAAACGACAACTATTATAAGGCTTTGAAAAATCTTATATGGTAATCTAGATATCTTCAAAGCCCCATACTTTTGTTTGGGCAAAAGCCGATTCTGCTGCCTCACGAGGGAAATGGGGTGGGAGGGGTGTGGGGTCACTTGTTTTTGGTACTTTCACTTTTTTGAAACTAAACTTTGAAATTTCACTTTTAATACCCTCTCCTCCTGGCGCATTAATTTATGAACATTTTCTTAGATTAACACTCAATACACATTAGGCGGTGACTCTTACCTTAACGAGGTTGTGTATGCTGAAAGGTAACTCCGGATCATTTTGGAGGTGTTTGTACAGTTGGTCTACAACCCAGGAAACTGCATCGCTTCTGGCCTGGAGTTTGTTGGTAATGAACGTATTAACAGCAGAGCTGTCACTGAAGTCAACATTTTTAAAAAACGTTTCTGAAATAACGGAACGAGCACACAGTTAGCCTGCTCGCTTTAGCGCTGTTGGCTGTGTCCTGTGTGTAATGTGTGTTACGTGTTGCGTANATCCACCTTCCTGCCTCGTTTCCGCGAGATTGCGGAAAGAAAAGAAAAAGAAAAGAGCAAAAACAACTTGTACAAAAAGCTTTCTATTCACATAACCATCAATTCCTCACCAAATCCTCGACCACTGGCACAATTTCGTTCTCGTTTGAATGGTGTGGAGTTTGCATGGTGCCAGTGTATGAACTGTATTTTCTAACTCAAATTCTTAATATTAGGACTAGTTGCTCTTAGGAATAGTTTATATCTTAATTCTGAATTTATCTTAGCGAATGTAGTAATTGTAATTAGTTATGTTATTGTAAATAGTCGTGCGTTTTTTGTCATGAGCCCCTGGCTCGGGAGATTGGGCAACCACTCCCTACGTTTACGAGTTGTATTAAGTTATCCTACCTAACCTTACCTAACATATGACTTTGACCATTTCCAGTATTGATGCATCCATGACAGCTCGAATGCAAGGCTTAAGGAATTAAAACAAAACAGACGAAATCAATAAATTTATTTTGATATCTTCCATCCTCGATGTTAATTTATCATAATCTCACTCTTAGCATTTTGTCAGTAGCACGTACAGCTCAGTTTGCAGAGTTGCATGAATGGTGTGCATATTTTGCACCCGTTTGTATACAGTGTTGCATGGGTTTCAGTATGAAATGGAGAAACTCAGACAGTGCAGTTTTCAGTCTCTCGTCCCAGCTCGTTTTCCACGAAAAAGTTGGATCGACGAGAACAACAAAAACATGTTTACTGGAACAATACATGCGTTCCACAAAAGGTTAAGAAACTGGTCTCGTGGCATGGGTGGCGTTCTTTTTCGTTACTCTTTTTCGGTTTTTCGAAGAGAGCGAACCGCTGATTCCAAAAAACAAGTACTTAAAATGATCTGGCTCCAATTCAACAAAATCTTCAAACTTAAATGCCTCCTCATGATCAGGTGATCTAGAACGAGAGACAATTCACAAAAGTACTTCGTCTATTTCTCTGAATTGTACCTTTAGGATTTAGTATTTTGCATATTTCTATTCCATTTATAAAAAAACTGAAAGAAAACCATTGTCAAGCCATTAGTGAAGTGCTTCGGTTGATTTTAGTTGATATGTGGCTAGAATGGAAGTTGTGAAGTTGCATCTTCAGCACAGAATTATCACTTGGTGTATAGTATTTGCTATAAAGGACGCAAGTTCAAAAACCACTGCCAAAGTATGCACCAAGTTAAGCTACGTTTGATCTCCCATGTGTTATCTGGAATTATGGCTTTTCGCAAAGTAGCTGTGTCTAAGCATATCCTAGTAAGTTGGCTCTTACAAATGACTTTCCAGCTTTAACAAAGGAACATTATGTATTTCGCTAAAGTTGTAGCGTTACACGGGCCAAATGAGAGCCCAAGTCAACCATAAGTCACGCGTCAACCTCGAGTCAACCACGAGTAAAGCCAATATTTATTTTTTTGTCCCTAAAAAATATAGATTGTAGGAAATAGAATATGTGAATATACCTTTGTGGTGCTTAATTTTGCATTTGGCGAGACAGTATTTCCGGGAGGGGATATTTTCGCGATTTCAATAGGCAAATAATTCTTACTTACTTTCTGACTTACTTAATATGAAAACGCGATTCAAGCGTTCTCAGCTTCATTTCATTTTTCAAAAGTCTGAACTTTTCAAAATTCCTAGATAAACTGGAACAAGCAAAACACATTTTTACAAATTACCATTTAAGGTAAACTAGAACAAGCGAAAGGCATATTTGAAAATTAACTTTTTACAGCTTGGCCATGATACACATTGCACTCAGTACGTAGTTCTGTTATTTTACAACAGAAGATACAAAATGGAACTTACCAGTAAAACCAGCTAATAGTTCGTGTATTTGTCGATTCCTACCCTGTATATGTTGTTGTTATTACATGTTAATCTTTTTTTTATTTTCCTGTGATTTAAATTTTCTATATGGGTGTTAGATTTCGCGTGTTTAAATTTGGCGAGGATTTTTATTCGCGGGTCTTTAATTTCGTGATTTATTTAAAATTGCGAAACTGAAATCGCGAAATTAAAGACCCGCGAAATTAATTACCAATAAGGTAGATTGTCTTAGCAGTTGCAATGACAGGCCTAGGCTCACCTCGATCGCGGCACGAAATTGCGGTAAGAGAATGCGTGTACCTTAGTGCCAACTGTTTTCCTACGATGTGGGAAAACGGAATTCGGACTTCCAGTTTCGTTTTTCGTTTACCCACCCCATCGAAAAAGGGAATTCGAGATTCCATTTTCGTTTTCCGTTTTCCTTCTGCATTGAAAATGGAATTCCAAGTTCTATTTTCGTTTTTCGTATTTCCACAACTTTAGACAACAGAATTCTAATTGTCATATCCTTTTTTCGTCTTTCGTTTTTGAAAGATGTTGATCATGACAAGCCTTTTTGACTTTATAGTGGGACCTAAATAGCCATTTCATTCCGTGATGTGTGATACTATAGGCATAATTTCATTTCCTTGCCAATATCGATATCGTGGTAACGCGCTATTAAACAGAAGGTTTTCAGTCAGTCAGCTCGGTACGGTAGCGGGCTGAAGAATTCGTAAATATTAGTTTTCTATAAATATATCTGCACAGTTATTTATGCTATTTCAGTGTTGTAATCACAACTCTATATGTACAGTCAGCTACATAAAGTGAGCTATGACGTCCATTTTGAGGATCGTAAAGGGAGGCAACAATACAAGCCGAAAGAGCGCTAGCGTCTTCTTAATAGGCTACTGTCTTGAGATGATATAATAGAACACGAAAACGAAAAACGAAAATCGAAGTTCAAATTCCGTTTTTCAATGTCTTACGAAAATAGAAGATGAAAACGGAAATGAGGTCATGAGAAAACGAAAAACGAAAATGAAAGTTCCAATTTCGCTTTCAATGTAGCAGGAAAACGAAAAACGAAAATGAAAGTTCGAATTCCCTTTTCCGATGGCGCGGGTAAACGAAAAACGAAACTGGAAGTTCGAATTAGGAAAACGGTTGGCACTAAGGTACACGCATTCACTAAGGTACACGTATTAGCCTGTTATTAGAATGTCCTGTTGTTAACTGCTAAGACAATCTATATTCATATATTTTATTTCCTACATTCTATATTTTTTTAGGGCCGAAAAAAAAGAAAAAGAAAAAAATTGGCTTGACTTGTGGTTGACTCGAAGTTGACTCGTGACTCGAGGTTGACTTACGCTACAACTCATTTCGTAAAACACCTTGGCCAAAATAAAATGGAGTTCTTGCTAATTCGTTGGGGTTTGTCCATAAAGGTTGGCTTTTCAACCATTTTAGTGAAGGATTAAGTTGTTTGTGGGTTAAACGGGCCGAAAGTTACTGTTAAATCACATAGATAAAAGTCTTGAATCAGACCATGGTGGGGGACAGATTTCCATACAACTCCATACTTAATTATGCAGACAATTTTCTCCCTACAATTAATCACAAACAGCAATCATGAATTGCTAGGTTTCAACCAATCTCTAGAGACTCAGATAACAACAATTATCAACAATGGCACGTCAGTGGCAGATGGTGGTCAAAACAGTGAGAGCTAATCAGAAATTCTTTTGTTCCTGACCATCTCGGCGGAATTAACGTGAAACCAAACATCACGGAAGTCGCAAACTTGCGTGCATAATAAATGTATGGGACTGTGCGGAAATCTTGCTCTATCGAAGCACACCAGATCGTTGTTCCCCGAATTTGATGGGTCGCAAAGTTCTTTTGACAACTTTGGAATGGGTCACTAGCTTTTCTGGAAAATTTTCACGGGTTACAATAATCATAGTTAATCCTTGCACGTTCTGACACGTTCTTTGCTTGGCTTGCAAATATTTGATTCCCTCCACTAACTATGCAATAATTAAACACATTGCCTTACGCTTACCTAGTAAGCTTCCCGGGGTGGTCACTCGATAACTTAGATGCTTTCGGCGGGAACATCCGTTTCTATTATGGTTATCCAAATCATTCTGTCCCACGAACTTTTCCGGGCAAGCAGAACATGACAGAGGACATAGCTCCTTATGGAACTTTCTGATATGTAGACGTAACCTACGCACTGTCTTAGAATACCTTTGAACACAACATTGCACAGGTACTCCCCGAGTTCCCGCCCTGTGCCTCTCTCAGACATAACGCGCTGTACATCAGCTTGGATGGAATTGCTATTACGACTCTTCGACATAGCTTAAATCCTTGTGTTACTAAAGACTAACCAACGGCTTTGGTGCGTCCTCAATTTTGAGAAGAAAATCATTTTGAGCCAATCAACTTTCGCTTTATGTAACTTTCTTTTTTACCAGCCAATCATTGCCGACTTACCTGCTTATTATTTTCTTCTATCTTCATGCATACATTTGCAATTGAATGTGGACCCCATGCCAAATTGACAACAAAATCTTCCTGTCTTCTTTTAGAATAAAACAAGAAGATCTTTTAGATCTTATGACCGCACTTTTAAAATTTAACTGTTTTCTTAGCACTACAGTCGCAACGCAGCGCCCATTCTAAAGATTCATTGATTACTGTCAACACTGTAGACACCACATCACTTGATCAAAACAAACTGTGTTATTGCACCATCGCTCTTAGCCTTTGTGAAATCTTAAATTTAATTGGTTTTTTCCGTGAGTAAAGGGCTAGCAAAGTAGTCACACGAGTCACATAATTCAAGAATTACTTTATCCACGGCTATCTTTAGTACCGTGGTTATTTCCCTACCAATGACGTAATCCTTGCACGTTCTGACACGTTCTTTGCTTGGCTTGCAAATACTTAATTTTCCCTCCGATCTCCGAGGTCGCTTCAATTAAACAGCACGACAATTCACTTCTCTTGTCTAAAAATACGGAAAATACTCGGAAAATTAAAAAGACTCACTCCTGGAGAAATAAAAGTTCAAAACAAGCACAATCCTATCTAACACGCTGCCCAAAAGAAAGTTGCAACGTCGACACATTCCATGAATCAAGCTTCGAATCAAGCGCTTCCATAACACAAAAAGCCAATATATTTTGTACTAAATAAAGAGTAGAATATTCGTAAAGATTTTCAGTTTATTCAACGTTTTACTCTAGTAACAGCTTTTGGCGAATAAACATCATTAGTTCTTTGATTCGAAGTCCCGCTCGTGATTTGGCCGAGTGGAAGTTTGGTTCTGGTCAAAAACATAAACCCGCGCTCGGCCTATGACCGCGTAGTCTCCTTCACAGCCGGTTTTTGGGATGTCACGCAACGCTCCCACCCAAAGAAGGGGGGAGAGTTGCGTGACATCCCAAAAAACGGCTGCGGAGGAGACCAATGACTGCGCGGTTAAAAAAATAAACAAACCCCGTGTACAGCAAGAACCGCTGCGTGCTTAATTACTAATTAATTAATTAATTGGTTAAAAATCGCACAGGCCACAGCTCCTGAATACATTTGAAGTTTAATG